CCCAAAAGAGCTTTCAAATAATCTGCTAAGTATTGAAGTACTGAAGTCATAAGCGAGTTGCAAAAAATCGGCTTACTGGAACAACAGGAAAGGCATTCTTTTGCTTTTCAAAGCCTTTCCCATCATCTGGAGCCAAAAATATTATCTTCTGACCCAAAAAGCCACTAATAAACCTTGTTTCTATAGGCTAAGCAAGAGGGAAGATTTTGCCCTGAGCAAAACGGCAAAGGCGGCAAGACTGTTCTCTGGGTCCTCCCACCCTCACTTCTGCTCCCTGCCCTACCTCCTGCCACCCTCCACTTCCATGTATCTCCCAACTGCTTTCAGGCTGCCTAGAGTCTTACAAGCTGCCCGCACTCCCATGGGCTCCCTTTCTCCCTAAAAGTACCCCATCCCCATATTAAAACCCCTTTCTTTCCCCTCCAAACTCCTTCCAAATCTCAACTATTAGGGACAACCTGTAAGCAGCACAGTCTCAGCACTCACCCTCTCTTTGTAATCCTGTTTATGCACAGAATGCTGTGTTCCCTTTCTATCTAGTTAGGAGTTTGGGGAGTGAGAAAGGCTGCCTTATGGAGACACACAGAGAGCTAGCAATAGAACCCCCTGTGTAACCTGGGGCCATTTGCTCCCCTGAGGCACCAGTAAAAAGTTAAGATTAACAGTACTGTATTTTTTTGCTACTGATCCATTGAAAAGCTAAAAAAAAAAAAAAAAAAGTTAAAACAGTAAGCTTCAGTTATGAAGACAATTCACTTGTGTGAGCCTTGTTTCCCTAAATGCAAGATTAATAAAAATGAGAGATGTCATGTACTATATTTAAATTTAAAAAGATGAGGCTGTTGTCCAAAATTAACCTCTAAATGGCAGTGGGTGGGGGGGTATGGTGGCATATTTTTGAACCCTTTGTCAACTCCCTGCCTTAAAAGACTTTAACACACTATCCCACTGAAAACCTTAAAGAGAACAATAAAGGGGCTCCTTTTCTGAAGTTTGCTGAACTAACCCAGGCTTCTGTGGCTTCCCTCTAAGGGCTTCAAGCACAACAGGAGGTGAGCAGCCTCCCTGCTCTCCAAACAGCCACACAACTCTGCCTATAAAACAAGAAGGCTCATCACCTCCCTCCTTCAGGACTCTCTGCAGGCCTCATCAGCCACCACCAACAACCACGTTTGTTATTTATAATACCGAATAGCACACCACATCTGTGGGGGCAGAGCCCAAGAGCACAGGGGTGATGTTTTTAAAATGTGATACAATTGTGGGTGGAAGAACTCCAATCGTGATCTTTCTCAAGATACCAGAATAACAGATGGACAAGACAACCTAGAGGCCACAAACTTGTCCCTGTTCACCAAGGTTTTCCCACCCTTGCTGGCTGCTCCTCCCCTGCCTGTCCCCTTTACGCTGGAGCCCCGCCAGGCTCTGGCCTAGGCCCTCTTCTCATCTCCCTCCATATTCTCTCCTTAGGAGACCCTGTCCCTTCTCGTGGCTTTAGATGACATCTTATCAACACTCACATGCTGGTCAACACTCAGTCTATGCACTCCTCCTGCTAGAGACCTGTAAATCCACCAACTTTCTTGACAGAACCACCTGGATATGTTAAAGCATCTGTTTAAAACTGAACTTGGTATGTTCCCTCCCTGCACCCACCCTAAGCCTGTTCCTTCACCATAGTTCCCCACTGCATCAATAGGTTCCACACTGTATCAGTAATTCCCTATCATCCTCCCAGCTACAGAAGCAGGATCTCCAGGAACAGTGATCTCTAAGATATATGGATCTCCAGAACATATTGGGTGAGAAAAGAAAGTTGCAAAACTGTGTTTAATAGCATGCTATCTTTTATTTAACGAATGGGGGAATAGAAATATATATGTACACACCACACACATATATATGCATTTGTTACTGTTTTCAAAAAGAAACAAAAAAAAGATAAACTAATAACAACTGTTAACTGTGTGGGAAGGAAGAGAACAGGGTGGAGGAGAATGAGATTAAAGCAAACTTCTGTGAATATACCTTGTTATATAGTTTTGACTTTGAGAAATATTGTATATAAATGTTTTATATACTTAAAACAAATTAAATAAAAATGTTAAAAATACCTAAAAATTAAAAACAGATTGAAGCAAATTAGAAAAATACCTAAAAATTAAAAACAGATTGAAGCAAATTAACCGAACTATATCTCATGATGGGAGACCTACACAGAGAAAAACAGTTACTAAACACAGCACTTTGACCTTATATCTCCACAGAGACATATTTTAAGGCCAAAGAAGAACCACAAAGAAGTCTTAAATTTCATTCTGAATCTTAGTAGTAAACATACAGTTATTTTAAAAATGTAACTGGTATATTGTAGATGTGCAGAATAAAGTTAATATACATCACTAATCTTAGAGAAGCATGCTTGCAAGGTTGGCCCTTGACTGGCATCTGGGAACTTGGATTCCAGGTGGTTCTCACAATTCCCAGAAATGATAAGAGTGGCTCACCACGCCTAAACTGTGTAAACAATACGGTTCATGCTGAACACCTGCTTGCTTTCTGGAAATATGGAATTTTGGTACATGCTAGGCCAAGGGTGCTTCTGTGACCAGTCCTCAGTAAGAGCTGTGGGCACTGAGTCTCTAACGAGCTTCCCTGCTAGATAACACTTCACACACATTGCCGCAACTCCTTCCTCTGGGTGTCCAATGGGAGAGCACGCAGACGCCTGTGCCTGTTTCCTCCAGTCTCTGCCCCATGTACCTTTTCCCTGTGCTGCCATACCTGATACCATTTCACTCCCACAGCTGAGAGTCCCCCTAGTGCATCAGTGAACCTGGGGTGGTCCTGAGGACCTCGGATACCGTAGGCTCTAGCAGACACATCATTTTGTTAATGTTATTGAGAACAAGATTTCCAGCATAAGATAAAGAAATACGAGACTCTAGTATAAAATCAAATAAATAGAAACACTATCACCTCACATTTGAATTGGAAATACTAGTATGAACTCACAACTTTTTCATTTCTTAAAAAATGTTTATTTTCTATTTCCGTTTATTGAAAGGCCTAGATGCAATAAGAGCTCAGTAGCACCGAGAATTTCTAATGCCCCAACTGTAGCTTCTAAATACTATTTTCTAGCTAAAAAGAACTAGAGCATTTTAGAGAAATGACTGATTCCAAGACTGGGGCAGGAAATGAGCCTGGGGCCAGGCGCAGTGGCTCATGCCTATAATTTCAGCACTTTGGGAGGTCAAGGCAAGTGGATGGCTTGAGCCCATGAGTTTGTGACCAGCCTGGGCAACATGGCAAAACCTTGTCTCTACTAAAAATACAAAAACTAGCCAGCCATGGTGGCACACCTGTAGTTCCAGCTACTTGGGAAGCTGAAGCAGGAGAATTGCTTGAACTTGGGAGGCAGAGGTTGCAGTGAGCTGTGATTGTGCCACTGCACTCCAGCCTGGGCAACAGACAAGAACCTGTCTCACACACACACACACACACACAAAGAGCCTGTGACATCTTACTGAACCATGAAGCAAGGAAATATCAAAGACTAATGAAGTATGACAAAGAACAAAGATACCAACTTAAAGGGGCTCCCACTGAACATAAAAAACAAATTAATGGCAGACAAGTGCCCTAAAAAAAAAAAACTAAAACATATCAAATATATAAAAAATATGTTCAAAATGCTATGAAAACCAAAGCTTCACTGGTCAACACTGGAGGTTGCTAGAGCCTGAATTCACAACTTTGAAAATTGATAAATAAAGGGAAAGAACCAAGCATTTTTCCTGCTCTTCATTATGAAGAGCAATTCAGAGTAATCATACAGGTGATAAGGAAAAGGTCTTTGTTAAAGAATTCCAGCTAACAGATGCAGAAGGAAATAATGGATCTAAGCAACAACCATCAATGGATGCTAAAATCACTTAGGTGAAAGACTGATAGGGGATTTTCATCAGCTGGTACCACCTAAACCCACCGATCAATCCTAGAATCTCTAAATGTGCAGCAGCCAGACATCACATGCCTGTTGATGCCACATAGTAGGGAGTACACAGCACCAGCTCTGAGGTATTCACACCCAATAATCTGATTGGAATGGAATCAGGCCTCTACATAGAACGCCTGTTGATAGGAAACACAGGGAACAGAGAAACACGTTAAATGACACCACAGAGAAGTAATAGCCAATTCCTGGGATGTAGGTATCCCACATGACAGATGACCTGCTTTCTCCAACAAATCAATGCCATGAGCAAATGGGAGTGGGCAAGAAAATGAGTAGAAGGAGGGCGTATAGTTATGAAGATATTTACAGAGGAAGAGTCAACAACAACAAAAAAGCCAATTTGACCACATCATTCTCATTCTTAAAACCCTCTGGCCCCTGCCCACACCTCTGGCTGCAGCTCTCATCATGCCCCTCTGTGCTCTGGCCACAGTCACCTTCATTCGGTTCCTTGAACTAGCCCTTTCCTTTATTCTGAGTCCCTTGTATGTGCAATGCCCTCTCCCTGGAATGTTGCCCTCGCCCCTTGCCCACTTCGCCTGGCAAAAGCCTGCTCATTCCTTCAGTCTTAGCTCAAACACTGTCTCCTTGGCAGGGACCACAGTCCAGGGTAAGATCAGGTCTCTCCCCCTTGTTATATACCGTCGATGTACTCTGTATTTCTCACGGGAGCACATGGGGGTATATTTTTGTTATCTGCCTTCCTCCCAAGGACTAGATGCTCCTTAGGTGCAGACACTACATCTTTCAGCAGAGTCTGAAATGTAGTAGGCACTAAATAAAAATCTCCTTAATGGGTACATGAACAAATAAAGTATTAACTATGTGGTTCAACCCACCAGGTGGGAATTCAGGGGCGCGCTAAATCAAAAAGGCCCACTGTAGACCCCGCTGATCTTAGTTGCGGTGGCATCTACTGTTAGTACTCAGAACCCAGGCTGGCACTCAGAAGAGCTCAGGCTCCCAAGGAAACACTCACCGCCTCGTGGGACTTGGGAATGGGTACGATGATGGCCAGCACACAGATGAGCTGGAAGATGGCTCCCAGGAAGAGTCCGTACCGTAGCAAGTTCTCCAGGAAAGTGGGCTCGGGCACCTCCGGAGGTGAGAAGTCTAGGTCAGAGGCCATGGCCCAAGTTGCTGGCTGCCTGATGTCTCTTCTGACTCGCCACTCTTCAGAGCCAACTTGTAAATGCAAAGGGTCAGTGTCATATTTCTGTAACTGACTTTTATTTATTTATTTCTTTATTATTTATTTTTGAGATGGAGCCTCACTCTGTCACCCAGGCTGGAGTGCAATGGCATGATCTCGACTCACTGCAACTTTGGCCTCCTGGGTTCAAGCCATTCTCTTGCCTTGGCCTCCCGAGTAGCTGAGATTACAGGTATGGGTGACCACACCCGGATGATTTTTGTATTTTCAGTAGAGACAGGGTTTTACCATGTTGGCCATGCTGGTCTCAAACTCCTGACCCCAGGTGATCTGCCCGCCTCAGCCTGCCAAAGTGCTAGGATTACAGGTGTGAGCCACCGCACCCAGCCTGTAACTGACTTTTAGCTTGAACAAACACACACACACCCCCAAGAATATATACAGGAATTGTGAAATGTTAACAATTCTTGAATCTAAGCTGGGGACATATGGTTAGTCACTGAACCATTCTTTCAACTTTTCTGTACGTCTGATGTTTTCCAAATATAAAGTTGAGAAAAATAAATAAATGCAAAGGGAAGCACTTCAACAAAAATCTCAAATCAACATACATTTACTAAAGTCTTAACACGTTTCAGGTTTTATTGTTTATTTATTCATCTAGTCATCCATTCAACAAATATTTCTTGAATACCAAGCACTGAACAATGAGCAAAACAGACAAACCCCTGCTTTCTTGGGGCCTACGTGCTCAGGATGGAAGGAGACAATGAACACATTGAGACGTGATATGCCAGGTAGTGATAAGCATTTTGGAAAAAACTTAAGGGCATCACTTTATTTTGTGACAAGAAGGCTGTCTCTGAAGAACAGAGATGAGAATAAGAGTGGAAGAGATAAGAAGTGAGAGAGTGAGCCATTTGAGTATCTGAGGGAAACATGTTCCAGGCAGAGAAAAAAGCAAGTGTGGAGGCCCCAGGGTGGGGAAAGGAGGCCAATACAGGGAGAGAAGTGATCAGGAGGGAGGGTGGAAGGAGGTAAGATCAGAGAGGAACGGGGTCGGACCCTGATACCTCCAATTTAATTGACTGAAATGTAAAGCCACTGAAGGGTTTTGAGCAGAAAAGTGACATGATCTGACTTCCATTTTTAAATGGAGGAGGGACAACAAGGGGAGGGGCAAAGTGGACACAGGGAGAGCCAGGAGGAGGCCCCTGCCAATAAGCCAGACAAGAGCTGCTGATGACGTGAATGACAGGGGCAGTGGTGGCCAGTGGTGCAAGGTCCCGCCTCAGCCCAGCTCTCCAGCCTCTCCTCTCGGCAGGGCCCCCGCTCCTAATATCCTGGTAGAGCTGAAAGAACTGCTGTGGTTCTCCAAGAGCACTGGGCTCTTTCAAAATCCTGGGCCTCTGCCCAAGCTGCATACTCTGCAAAGAATGTCCTTTCCTACTTTGACTGCTTGACAAAGCCCCAACTCTGCCTCTAAGGCTGAGCTCAAGTGTCATCTCTCCAACATGCTTTTCTTGTCATCCTCCTCTTCCACTGGCATGATTGAACTGCTCCCCCTCTACCACAGCACCCATTAGTGGCTTTCTTCTGCCCATCCCAATGATAAAGGGGCAAATTTACTTTGGAATCAGGCCTATCTGAATCTAAAACCCTTTGTGTTTCCAGAGATCTGTGCCACAATGCAATGTTTTGTTAAGTCTGAGCTATCCAATATGGTGGCCATGAGCCACACATGACTATTACGACTTGAAACGCAGCGAGTTTGATTTTAGATGCTAGGCCAGGCGCGGCGGCTCACGCTTGTAATCCCAGCACTTTGGGAGGCCGAGGCAGGTGGATCACTTGAGGTTGGGAGTTCAAGACCAGCCTGACCAACATGGAGAAACCCCGTCTCTACTAAAAATACAAAATTAGCCGGGGTGGTGGCACATGCCTGTAATCCCAGCTACTCGGGAGGCTGAGGCAGGAGAATTGCTTGAACCCGGGAGGCGGAGGTTGCGGTGAGCTGAGATCGCGCCATTGCACTCCAGCTTGGGCAAAAAGAGTGAAACTCTGTCTCAAAAAAAAAAAAAAAAAAGAATTTAGATGCTAATTGGATACCTATTTTGAAAGACTTAGTATGAAAATAAGAATGTAATCTATCTCATTCATAATGTTTTCATATTGATTACATGTTGAAGTGACTGCAGTGGCTCACATCTGTAATCCCTGCACTTTGGGAGGCCACAGTGGGCAGATCACTTGAGCTCAGGAGTTCGAGACCAGCCTAGACAACATAGCAAGACCCCATCTCCACAAAAAAAATAATAAATTAGCCAGGAGTGGTGGCTCACTCCTGCATTTCCCGCTACTCCAGAGGCTGAGGTGGGAGGATCACTTGAGCCCAGGAGCTCAAGGCAGTGAGCCGTGATCATGCCACTGCACTCCAGCCTGGGTGACAGAGCGAGACCCTGCCCCCATCCCACCATGACACCAAAACATACACGTAAAAAACAATTGGCTGGGCACAGTGGGTTATGTCTGTAAGCCCAACACTTTGACAGGCCAAGGCAAATGCATCACTTGAGCCCAGGAGTTCAAAACCAGCCTGGGCAACAGAGTGGGAACCTGTCGCTATAAAAAATTTAAAAATTAGCCAGACATGGTGGTGCACACCTGTAGTCCCAGCTACTCAGAAGGCTGAGGCAGGAGAATTGCTTCAGCTGGGAGGTCGAGGCTGCAGTGAGTCAGTGAGTCGTGATTGCGTCACTACACTCCACCGTAAGTGACAGGGTGAGAGACCCTGTTTAAAATAAAAAAAAAATCGAATTGAAAGCAAGGACTCAAGATACTAATGTTCATAGCACCATTATTCACAATAGCCAAAAGATGGAAACAACTAAGAGTCCATAAACAGACAAATGGATAAACAAAACGCAGGATATACATACAATGGAATATTACTCAGCCATAAAGGAAATGTAATTCTGATACATGCTATAACATGAATGAACCTTGAAAACATTATGAGCTTTGAATAAACATATATGAAATAAGCTAGACACAAAAGACCACATATTGTATGAATCCTCTTATATGAGGTACCTGGAACAGGCAAATTCAGAGACAGAAAGTAGAATTGAGGTTACCAAGGGCTGGAGGGAAGGGAAACGGGGAGTTACGGTTTAGTGGGTACAGAGTTTCAGTTTGCAAAGATGAAAAAGTTCTAGAAATAGACAGTGATGACGGTTATACAACACTGCAAATACCACTGAATCTTAAACTTAAGAATGGTTAAAATGGTAAATTTGTTACATATATTTTGTCACAATTTTTTAAAAATCTGTTTCTTTTTACCCATTTATTTATTTATTTATTTAGAGACAGGGTCTCACTCTGTCACCCAGGCTGGAGTACAACGGCACAAACATAGCTCACTGTAGACTCAAAATCTTAGGCTCAAGTAATCCTCCTGCCTGAGCCTCCCAAAGTGTTGGAATTACAGGCATTGTCCCTTTTTGCTTTTTAAATGTGGCTACTGGAAAATGTAAAATTATACATAGCTTGTATATTTCCACGGGGAAGCCCTGGGGTAGAGACAATCCTAAAGACCTGCCTCGCAGGGCGCAGTGGCTCACGCCTGTAATCCCAGCACTTTGGGAGGCTGAGGCGGGCGGATCACCTGAGATCAGGAGTTTCAGACCAGCCTGACCAACATGGAGAAACCCCATCTCTACTTAAAATACATGCCGGGCATGGTGGCAGGCGCCTGTAATCCCAGCTACTTGGGAGGCTGAGGCAGGAGAATCGCTTGAACCCGGGAGACGGAGGTTGCAGTGAGCTGAGATCACGCCATAGCACTCCAGCCTGGGCAACAAGAGTGAAACTCCATCTGAAAAAAAAAAAGGCCTGTCTCCACCTTGGCTCTGCTGCTTCACTGCTTTGCACCATGTTTCCAACATGAAGTAACCGAAGAATAATAAAAACGACCTTCGTAAGTAAACAGAGCCGGACTCACACACGATATTGCTTCCCTTTCAACCTGGTCACTTCGGAAGGTCATGTGCCTGGAGCAACAGGATGGCCACTTTTCACATCAGTCTGTCTACCATGGAAATGGCCTTCAAAGCTTGAGGCTCTTTTTTTTTTTTTTTTTTTCCAGAATCCTCAGAGCTGGCAGATCTTCATCCTCCCAGGAAGGATTTGACTTCTGGAAAGAGCCCAACATCATCTGGTTCCAAGTGCAGTGAATCAGGTGGTACTGAGCTCAGGAATACCATTTTTGGTCAAATACAAGGTATGATGCTCAGGCTCCAAGCAGATTACTTGGGGTGGCTCATAAACTGGCCCTGAAGTAAATTCCAAGACGGCTGCAAGAACAGCTTCACTGGAAGAAATGTAACAGCCTCTACCAGCACCACCACGTGAATACCAACGCTTAAGAATGCGTTCTCATTTCTCTGCAGTTGCACCTCATAAAGTGTGCATTTTTTAAAATGCCCTTGGCCCCAAGCTTTTTGCTTAAGGCTGTAACAAGCTTTATGAGGTTATACATACCCAGATTCACCAGTGTTACTACTAACAGCAACATTGTGATAATAAATATTTGGAGTGGTACAATAGAAAGATAGGGCAAGAGTCGGGAAGCAGAGGACAAAAGCCCCGGCTCTATCTGCAAGTAGCTACACTTTGGGCTAATAATCTCTTGACCTCTGGAGACGGGATGTTCTCATGAGCCAAGCAACAATAATACCTATAATACATTTAGGCCTTTAAAAAAAAATGGCAATTAGACAAAATATAACAAGAGCCATAATAGTGATTATATCCTTTGACTGAATAACTTACTTCCTAGAATTTATAGTAAGGAAACAATTCAAAAGAAGAAAAAGCCTTCAGGTAGAAAAAAGTTCATGGCAGCACTATTCATGATACCGAAAAACAGGAAGCAAGCCACCGTCCAGCAATCAGCAAGCAGTTAACCCAGTGAGGGTACATCACCGTATAATCCCTCTTCACTAACATGGCAAACACACACATTGTG